TATATTACTATACATAATTGATTTGCTTAGTGCACCATCTAGTTTTAAACAATAAATATATAAACTAGCGTCGGATTTAAAATTAAATCACTAGAGCGCAGCAAAACGCTAGATCCGAATTTTTAGTGCGATATCGACCACAGTTTTTTGTATAGATAACTCTTGAGTTGCATGGGCCTGATTTAACCAAAGGACAAAGATCTGCGCATGCGTGTGGACATAGTTATTTTTCAAGTCGGATGATCATGAAAATAATATGTGATCATTGGTCTGATATCATATTATTATTATCATTATAATGTAATAGAGTGTGGAGTGTGATAAGAACTAAGTGGTACAGGGTAGTTGTCAGAAAAATGATAAGAATGTTTAACCACGATTTATACCAGTGAACCAGCAGTGATAACAACGTGAAAAAAATCATATAGCCATATGTAGGCTGTAATTATTATTGTGATGATTTTTTTTCACGTTGTTATCACTGCTGGTTCACCGGTATAAATCGTGGTTAAACATTCTTATCATTTTTCTGACAACTACCCTGTACCACTTAGTTCTTATCACACTGATGTCTAGACATCACTGATGACAAAATCTTTATAATATAAAATATTTAAAATGTTTTTACTTTTTAGCACTATACGTCTATAACCTATACCTCAGATTAAATAAAATTATGCAATAAATAATACATTTTTTAATACATTTAACAATTGTGGAATTTCTGAAAGTTAAAGAATTATTAAAATTGAATTTTTAGATTTTACTAGATGGACTCGACATAAAATGAATTTGTTTTGAACTTAACCATCCAAATTATCATCAGCAAATTAGCCGTGTTGTTTAGAACCTATAACAGAAAAAAAAAATTCTTAAAAATTTTAAATGTTGATTATGAAAGTCGAAAAAAAATGTTAACGGGTACCAATGAGTGATAGCAATAATATGTCTCTCATTCTTCATAAATATAGCATATTTGTACATATTAAATACTATATAACATGGAAATGGAGGTAAAATTTAGAGTAAAATTAATTTTTATTACTGAAGATCCCCTAAGTAGAAGTCATAGTATAACATGGAGTAAAATAAGTTTTTATTACTGGAAATTTCCTATGTAGAAATCATAGTGACCTTTTCATAGTTAATCATAAAATATAACGAGTGGTATATAGTTAGTACCACCCAAATCCATTTTAATTTTACAAGGTTGGCAACACCCTTGTTGTCGTATAACCATTATATTTAACTGCCGGGTAACCACTCTTATAATTTTTCTGACAACTACCATTTTCCGAGAACTAAGAAGTGTTAAAAGTTATTGAAATAATTAATTATTATACATTCAATTATTATTTATTAAGTTTTTCAAGTGACAAGTTGTTGTATGGACTATGGACCGTTGTAAACGTATTGTTAATGGTTAAGACGTAGGAAAATTCGGCAGTAAAAACACTAAAAACATGCTTTTGAGTAGTATATATTTGCCGATCCTGGCACCACCACCACCAAACCACCACCACCACCACCAMAACCACCTCTCCTACTCACCGCCTGGCCAATGGTGCTGAAGCCGGTACACCGCTCCCCGCCAGCACCAGCACCAACACCTCTCCTACTCACCACCCGGCCATAGGTGCCGCAACCAGTACACTGTTACAATAGTAAGTACTGTGTAAGTGTAATAATATATTAAGATATTTTTTACAACTATAATCAACTTTTTGGCAACAAATTGAATGTTAAATTTAAAAGCTAAAAATTAATTAATTAAAACTGATAATGATGATTCAATTTTAGTAAAATCATCTTATTAATTTCACTATAAATAATTTTCAGTTCAATTTATAATTAATTTTAATTAAACACAAATAATATTTAAGCACTAAAAAAAAGTTTCATTATAGGTANTAGAAAAATCAATAAAAATTTTTATTGCAGGTGCTAAATTCCGTGAACAAAGCAAACTATCAAAGACCAACAACAACACAGTCATATAATAAACAAAATATAAATATTTATAGTACACACTTTTTTAAAATTACCTGTAATAAATAAAACAGAATATAGTTAAAATTTCTTGTGTTATTTTTCATTATAATTTCCTAACTTTATCTGTGTACTGTGATTATTTAAATGATCATAGCAATAATGAGTTGGTATATAGAATTGTTTTTAAAATATGTGTATAGGTAAAAAGCCAAAATTACATGTTTATGAAGGGTATATTATATTGATAGTCATAGGGATGAGACAGGTACTAAAATTGATCAAAATGTTATTAAATCAAATTTGTTAAAGTATTTAATGAATTTGAGAATTGGTAACTAATTTGATTTTTTTTAAATTATAATATTTTAATGATGGTATCTACTCGTATTTATTAAAAAAATATGACTTTTTTAATGATTTTATTATGATACTAATAAAACAATAATAAATTATTCAGTTAAAATCAAAAAAAGTATATTTTATAAATAATATTTAATAATATTTATTGATCATAAAATTTAAAATAATTTAATTATGTAATTCTGGCGGCCAAATAGCGTTTTATTTTTAAAACATTTTTTTAATCAAAAATTGATGAAATAAAAACATTTACTAAATAATAACTGTTTGTGCACCAAGCAAGACCGCCCTGCTAGTTCAACATATGTGAGGTTGGTCATACTGGGCGAGGACGCAACCTCCACTCTCCCCCGTTACAGCTCGGACAGCGGCCGGCTCGCGAAATTTTAAAACATGCTACGTCTGATCATTTAACCCACGGTCTTAGAATAATAGGTCTAGCAAGGCGACGCTTGAATGGTGTTTTTATTACGGTAAAAATCCGGATCTAGCGCAGTGCTGCGCTCTAGTAGTTTATTATACGGACGCTGATKTATGGAAGTATATAATAGATGGTGCACTAAGCACTTGAATTATAGATATACCTTTTTTGGATGAAAGACATCAAAATAAATAC